ATAGGAATGATAATATGAAGAACACAGGGAAAACACCACATAATAACAGAGGTAGAGATTGGAGTGTTGCATCTATAAACTAGGGAACGCCAGTTTGCCAAAAGCCAGGAGAAGGGAATAGAACATATTCTCCCTCAGAGACTCCAGAAGGACTAACCTTGCCCATGACTCGATTTCAGAGTTCTAGTCTCACAAATGGTGAAAAACAAATTTCTGTTGTTTTAAACCACTTGGTTTGTGGTACTTTGTTATGATAGATCTGCGAAAGTAATGCAGATGTCAAATTATACTGCTACAGAAAGGTCAAGAAAGTTAAGGAAGGGAAATGACAATTTGGTTTAGCATGCAGGTAATTGGTAGGAGAGTACATTGACTAAGAATATAACATTTAATACTTAAAAATTACATTTTGAGTAAGGCAGGGAAAATATTGAATTTAGATATGTTGTTAAAGCAGCTCACCTAGGAATGAAAGAAGAGATAAAAGTGGTAATTATAAGGGATGTGGTCAAGAAAGGGTATTTTAATGTAGATTCTTAGATATGTTTCATTACTAAAAAGGGGGAGAAGAATGAGATGTTGAAGAGAGGAAAAAAGATGAATGATTGAAAGAACACATCGTACAGATCAAAGAATGGGTTTTAGGATGGGGAAAACCACTGTAAATGAGATAATAAACAATGAAAAGATGGGTAAAATCCACAGCAATGTCGAAATTCTTGGCTGACAATTTTTAATTTTGCAGATCAACTGGATACAGTATCATTTTTTTAGTATGAGAAGGAAAGTGTATAAGAAAGAGATTTGAAGACTTGATGAGAATCTTGGAAACAGGAAATGATTTAAACTCCACATGGAGAGAGTGTCTGGTGAAGTACAAGAATTTTTAAGGAGGGCCTGTCAGCATAATTAAGTGGAGGTGCCTTGACTGATTGTCAGCAATGCTCAGTAGCTTGATTGTAAGACTTCAAAACTCACAGAGTGGAACAGACGGAATAAAACTGCAAAACTACATTAATGAAATAACAAAGGAAAGAAGTATAATGCAAGCGTAAAAGGGCTAGGCTATGATGATCTGAAATTGGTAAGGAAGAAAAAAATATCTCAACATGGTAGGAAACAATGAACATACTAACACTAAAAGTGTGAGAGAACTGTCAAGTAGAAGATTGTTGTCAGAGACAGAAATCTGGAATTTTGACAAGCTCTTCTTCCCAAAAATACCTCCTCCACTAGCCAGCAACACAACCTCAAATTTTACCCTATTACACTTATTTTTGGGAGGCCTGTTATAATAAAAATTCAAGTATGAAGTATACTGCACTAAGTGCCCTGGAGTCTTAAGAGAGAGAAAAAAATAATCAACAGAAGAAAAGTATCCATTTTCTTTATAATTTTTAGCATATAATTGGGGATATTGCCAGTAGGTATTCTAAACAAAATATGGAGAGGAAATACCATTTAGAAGAAATATATTTTTCTAAATATTATAGTTCATAGTAAAATAGACAAACTTTTTGGTCATTAGGAATAAACAGTAAGCAATAGTTAGCATTAAGAATAGTGACAGTAAGGATACAAATGATCATAATTTGTATTATGTAGTCAAACCAATTTAGTTTGCTGTTATCTAAAAACTGTTAACACCTTCTCTCAAGATATCTATTGTGCTTGACTCATATGTCCTCATACATTTGCATAAGTGCATGCTCATACACACTTCCAAGTTTTAAATACCAGAATCTAGGATCCTACCCTGTGCATCATCTTCTCATGTTCTACCATTTCTTTTGCTCTCTCTGTTCCTTCCCTGAGTACTCCAAGGCTAAGATTTTTGGAGATATTATAGTAAGGGAAAAAGCATAAGGAAGAATTAGGAAATCAACTGAATAGGCTCAGATAAGAGCAGGATCCAGAATCTGGGGCTACAACAAGCAGATATTCCACCAAATTGTCTTTGTCAGAAAATCTCAACTTCAGGTATGAACTCCTAAACCTTCTCATTCTTTAAGGCATACACTTTTGCTAAGTCTTTCTTTTTGAAAATTCATTTCATCCTCACACACAAATTTTTTTTAATTGGATACTGGGGATGATCATACTTTTACTTTTTATTTATTTAAAATATTTTCAAAATTTTATTTTTATTAACAAACAAGTTTACATATTCATGGGGTACATATTTTGATATGTACAATGTATAGTGATCGGATAAGGGCAATTAGCATGTCCATCATCTCAAACATTTATAGGAGAAGTTGGCAGAATCCAGAATCCAGTGGGCACCACATTGCCTTACGCAGTTTAACACTCCCATTTTTCTCTGTACCTTCCTATTTATATTTCTGTACTTGCTTTAATGTTAAAAAATACTGCTAGACTCTAGGCTTCATGAGAATAGAATTCATACATAACTGCTTCATTGCTACACTCCCAGTACCTGGCATAGCACCTGGAAAGAAGTATATGAACACATATTTAAGAAATGATACACAATGAATTATCACTGATACGTCTTGGGATCAAGGGAGACTCTCAGTAGGTAAGGTAGATTGTGAAGGAAAGCCATGCCCTGAATCCCTCCCTTCCTCTGAAAGGAGTAAACTTTTAAACTTCTTTCATTACCTCTATTTCTAATTACATAATTATCCTTATTTTTCTTGACATACTCCCTCTACTTTTATATTAAGCCCAATGAAGTCAAAACTGAAAAAATTAAAATATTCTTTGTAAATATTATAAGAAAAACAATAAAATAACTGTATTTCTATACAACAAAGTAATTTTCAACTTTAAAAATTTGATCAAAACATGCTTAATTACCAAACCACCACATAACCTATTTTATAATCTTGAGGAAGCAGTTGTGTCATACAAAGATATATTTTTAATGTCTTTTTAATTGCATTGGGAAAGGAAGAGGTTTTATTTGTAACTCAAGTAATTTCTAGTTGGTGAATTAGAAGAAAGAAGCAATCTTTCAAAAGAAAATGGTTAAACCATTGGAATTCCAAGCAGAAAATGTAACTCTTTATTAACTTTGCCTATGATTTATCACATATTTTCACAGGCCTCTCAGAAGAAAAGGAAAGTAACATTCGATAATTATCATGTTCAGCATGCATTTATTTTGAAGCAGTGTTGTATCAAGGCTGTGTTAATAACTATCAGGTTGCTTAAAATTGTTTTTATGCACTAGCCATTTAGTCATAATAACTGTAAGAAGGAAAGCACTGTTTATCACTAGGCACCTTAAGTCCATTTACCCCATAATCACAGCAGGTTCTTTGAAGAATATATTTTAAACTGGAAAAATAAAGAATGCAGAAAAGCCAGGCACAGTGGCTCATGCCTGTAATCTCAACATTTTTGAAGGTTCAGCCCTTTGGGAGGTCAAACTGGGAGGATTGCTTGAGGCCAGGATTTGGAGACAGGCTGGGCAACATAGCAAGACAGTATGGCAACAAAAATATTTTTTTAATTAGCTGGGTGTGGTGGCACTGGTGGCACATACCTGTAGTCCTAGCTACTTAGGAAGCTGAGGAGGGGAAGGAGTACTTGAGCAAGGAGTCGAAGGCTGCAGTGAACTATGATTGCACCAAGACAATCAAAGTTGATAAAAAAAAAAAAAAGTTTTTAAAAAAAAAAGAAAAAAAAAAAAAAAAAAACAGAATGTGTACAAATCACAAATTGCCTTCTCTTGATAAAACTTGTTGATCAGATCCATTTCACCTAAACATGTTTAGATGTAATACACAATGATAACTAGAGGGAAGGATGTTTCCTCCTGCCTGCTGTTGTTAAGGGAAGTCTGTAGAAACTATCCTGTAATTATACTGTAAATTTAATTCCTTTTAAAAAATCATTTTTAAGTGATGAAACAGAGGTTCAAACAGTTCAAGTATAACCAGTAGGCAGCTAAATATATGCTTAAATCTAAATTTATACATATGCCCCCAGGATGCAAATAAAGGAGTTTCAGCTCTATAAATTTCCTGAGATTGGTCTAAGCACAGACTATGTCATTCCAGCATGTACTCCACCGAGCGCTTTAGCTCACTACTCTCAAGCAAAGTTCAGAAATCGGGTCCTACCCATCTTCTCGGGAAACCCAAGTATTTGTTCATATACAGTGTTCGCATCAGTGTGTCCTCATGGTCAAGCCCTGAAAACTAAGGCACCATATGTCCAGAACCCTGTAACCAAGAGCGTGTATTCACAGTGCACATTGGATATGTTCAACCCAGGGAAATGTAGAGATCTGTTCAAGAAAATGTACTCCTTGGGATTTGCGATTTACTCTCCATGTGCCATGACGTTCTAACCTGAGCAAAATCCTCCAGGAGAAACCACGGCCTCCATCTGCTGCTGGTAATGAGGTCAGAGGGACCCATTTCTAGTGATAGAAATACAGGAAGAGGGAAAACGGGTGGATGTGGAAAGTGGGAGCGACAGGAAAAGGGATCTGAGACTAGCGAATATGAACACCAGAGCAGAAGGCTGAATGAAATTCAAAATCCAGGGACGCCTAAAAACGTTTGCGTTTGCGTTTGTACACTCATGCACACTCTCCGAAAAATCAACTAGGATCTTGCCCTTGCCTCGTGGGTAAATGGTTTAAATTGAGCAAGAAATAACAGCCCCCAATACATGTTTGAGAACAGGGACCTCAGCAAAATATCTTAAAGTTAAAAGAAGGCAAAACAATCTTGGAAAGATGTTAATTACAGCTGAGGGAGTGCAGCGCTCCCTTGGGCAGGTCAGCCTGCCAAGCTCCAGCTGCTTGGTGACGAGTAGCGAGTAGCGAGTGAATGAAATGCGAAAGGCGGGGATGGAGAGAGGGAGTGCAATCACAGCCAGCGAAGGGGATGGTCAGCTCCGCGCCCCGCAACGTCATCGAAGCGTGGGACTCCGTGAGAGTAAAAAGCTTGCCTGCAGCGCAGGATGCTCAGTTCTCCAGCCTGTGCCGGGCGGCTCGGGCTCTTGCTGTGGTGGGACGAGACCACCCTTAATCTTTCGAGGATCTCGTTCTTTCTGCCTGCCATAGCGGCAAGCCCCTCGGAGAAAGTGCGGTTCTTTCTCCTTATCACCTGCTGCATCCCCCTAACCAGCAGGGATTGCAGTACCTTATCTTTCCACTTCCAGGCGTGTCTGAAGACCTGGCACCAAAGTGACCAGGAGGCAGAGAACTTCAGAGGAGTCTGGTCCTGGGCTGCCCATGGGTGAGTGAGTGGGAAGGTCCGGGACTGCAGACTGGTGGCGATGACCACTCTCCCAGCAGCAGAAACCTGGACAGACGGCGGTGGAGGCGTGGGTGCGGACGCTGGGAACCTGACTGCCTCGCTAGCTGCCGGGGCGGCCAGGGGGGCAGTTGAGACTGGGTGGCTGCAACTGCTGGTCCAAGCTGGCAACCTCTCCTCCTCCAACTCCGTGCTGGCTTCCCCCGCGCCCTCCCAGCCCCAGGCCAACCTCACCAACCAGTTCGTGCAGCCGTCCTGGCGCATCGCGCTCTGGTCCCTGGCGTATGGGGTGGTGGTGGCAGTGGCCGTTTTTGGAAATCTCATCGTCATCTGGATCATCCTGGCCCACAAGCGCATGAGGACTGTCACCAACTACTTCCTTGTGAACCTGGCTTTCTCCGACGCCTCCATGGCCGCCTTCAACACGTTGGTCAATTTCATCTACGCGCTTCATAGCGAGTGGTACTTCGGCGCCAACTACTGCCGCTTCCAGAACTTCTTTCCTATCACAGCTGTGTTCGCCAGCATCTACTCCATGACGGCCATTGCGGTGGACAGGTGAGGAGAGGACAGCGAGGGAGGAAAGAGGGAGAAGGGAAAGAAAAGAGCTGGGCGGTGGGATAAGATTACAAAGGCAACGGTGAGGTAACGGGGTCTACAAAAGCAAAGAGACTTAAGAATTTTTGCTGAAAGGAGGACACTAACCCATTTGTAGCCCTCCAGTGGCTGAACAAATTTCTGCTTCCTTGGCCTCCAACACTCAAGCCTTAAATCACTGAGCCTTATTAAGGATATCTAGAGGGACTGAAGAAGGCTAATGAGGGACATGTGAAACTGACATTCCAAGTAGGGCAAACTTACCTAGAAACGTTTAAGTACTAGCAAACTTTCCCAAATGACTTTTGAACAAAATTTGTCATCCGTAAAGTGTACTTTTTGGCCTTCCTTCTGTCAGTCACTATTCTGGCAGAGAAGTGGTAAATGAGTCCCCCTTCACCCTCCCCTCTTCATCCCTCCCTATTCCATAGACTTGCCCCAAGGCGAACATTGGTTTGGCCTCCCAATCACGGAGGAACTAGCAAAGGCCACACACACTCTCCAAAAGGCTGCTGTAAACTAGCATTTCCCACCACATCTCAGATTGGATTTAATTTTCAGTAATCTGCAGAGGCTATGAACTGAGTAAGCCCTGGAAGTGTGTAACCAAATTTTTTAAAACTTTGTGTGCATTTGCCTTCTCATATTGAACATTATAAAGTACAGATGTTTGTGGAAATACAATGGTGAATCCCTACCTGTTATTGAAAGCTGGCTGCACTTTAATTCAACATTATGGTGAAAACGAACCACAACAGTTGATTTTTGTCTTAGCTTTGTGATAGGCAGTTGCATGGGGGATACATGAGGGTGATGTCACTTTATCTGGAAGTCTCTAAGTTCTTATTCACGAAAAGATCATTTTTAGACATTAACAAACCCATCTAAAAATAAAATGGGGATAAATACTAATTCTTATGACATTTCAGCTGTCATTATGATTTAAAAGATAAGAAAAAACCAGGTTATTTCCATAAATTCATCTTCTGTGTTTACTATTTTGAAATACTGAGCACTGAGGTATTAGTAACATATATCTCTAGAAAATATTTTCATGTGCCCAAAGGATTAAATTGAAGGAGGAGAGTTACTAGCCACTAACTAGAATAAATAAACACAAAATCACACATTTTAAAAAGCCTCTAAAATTGTCATCTTCCCTTTCTCCTTTATCTCTGATTATCCACGCATATGCACCCCTTCATTTCTACTATGTATAGGAGATGCAAATGATGAGAAATTAGACTCCAGTTGGGAAACAAGTGAAATTGCCTCTAATCTTACTACACCAAGATAGAAGTAAATGTTCTTTTTGCTTGAGCAGCTTCCTAGTTTGTTTTGCTGCCTGTTTTTCTTTTTATTTCTTATAGTATATGTTTTTTGATGTTTTGATTAAGGCAAGAGGTATTAGCATATAATGTTATAAAATTCTTACAATCTTCTTGAAAGATTAATGATGCAATATGAACTTTGAAGAAAATTTTAGTGTGTGTGAAATCTGTATTTCAGTTATAAAGGGGGAAAAGTCATTTTTTTCTCTTTTTAATTTCTTCCTGTCAACATTGATGAGATTGTCTTGGAGTTATTTTAAATAACCATTTAGTGCTATCTTATTACAGTCACTGGTTTGAATTAATGAATATTATTAATCTTTACTATTTCTTTATGGAAAACATTAATCATTAATACTATTTAAAAATTTAGAGTATACAATATGCTATAAAATCTGAAGCATACTCATTTTCATTTCCTTAAGTGCTATTTGTTCTTTGAACCACTCAAATCTGATTACTTTTCCCAGCATCATCCAAAGAGCATCACTGAGAAATCAAGTGGACATTTCAGTTCTTGACTTCTTTGACCCGTGAACAATATTCCTCACAGGTGGCTACTGCCTGGAAGTCTCACCTCTTGGCTTCTAGGTTTTCTGATATCCTTCCTCCTCTGCCTCTCTTTCATGGCTATATTTCTGAATCTCTGTCTGTACATAATGATTAAATGCAGAAGTTCCTTATGCTAAATTCTGGGACTGTTTTTCTTCTTATTTTCTGTCCCCAAGCAATCTCATCCAGAACAATGACTTTATCACTTTGATTAAAGAGCTCTCACTTTTTTCTGTCTAATTGGTTTTCTTCTGGATTATAGACACGTAAGAATCCATACAATGAACAGACAACTATAAATGAATAAAAAAATAAGATTGCAGAAAAATATATAAATATGAAACAAGACCAAGTTATTATATACATGAAGCCATGCCAAAGTAAACATGTAAAGTAGACATTCTGGTCAAAGAGTCTTAATTTCTTATAAAAGTTAAACTTCAAATATGTCTCTGAGTTTCTTGATAATCACATAATAAAGGAAATAAAATTAGTAATATGGTTTATACTATCTGTAAAGACAGTACATACACACTCCTTAAGTGCTAAATAATTTCTGATACTTAAGTTTCAAGGAATTATTTATATGAGTAAAAAGAAGAAAATATCTTCAAGCACACTGTCACAAATGCAAAAGCAGGTTTCCTATGGATTTTTATTTAGAATTTCACCAAGTGGTCCAAAGGCATGGTACCAAAGCAGAACTCAGTAAATGGCATTTTCAGGTACCAAACAGGTATCTGAGCAAAGTTTTCAGAGATCTGGTTTGATACAAAGATAAAACTGCAAGAAAGGATAAAGCTTATTTTCTACTGAAGTACCTTTTTTTTTTCTCACTCGAACTTTAGAGATAGTTTGAGAAGCAGGTAACTCAAAGTTGCAATATATGGAAAAGATCTTGGAATCAATTTTATCCCAGTCCCCCATCACTGATCCTGATTCATCCTCCTTCCCAGTCTTCTACTTAAACATATTTTTTCTTATTCATTGTAAGAGCCACATATTCACAGTTATATATATATATATATATATATATATATATGAAAGTTAAATTTAACTTTTACGCATAGTTATCTTACCCCCCAAATATCACCAACGTGTGACCCTCCCATCCACATTATGATGCTCCCCTGGTTTTTTATTTTATATGTACTTTCTTTCTCTCTCTATGCACTCATGTATAGTACATTATATAAAGAGAAGGAGAGACAGAGAGAGAAAGATATTTTCTGTAATTATTAAAATGTAATATTATTATATCATTTAAATTAACATGCTGTTATTAAACATTTATTTGACAAATTGACATCATGATTTAGAGAATTGTTTTATTCTATAAAATTTAGTTTAATTTTTTAATATATAATACATGTATTTGGCTTAAAACTCAAAGAAGCAAATAATTCACAAAGGTAAAATTCCATTGGTAACCCTTCTTTGATTTGTGGTCATGTATACTCAATTACTTCCTTGACATTTTTACTTGGATGTCTGAAAGGCCCTTTGAATTCCACAAAACTCATCATTTTACCTTCAGATATTTTCCTCTGTCAGTGTTTCAATAAATACTGCAAGCATCCATCCAATTGTTCAAACAACTCACAAATCTATTACATTTTTTCTGCCTTTACCCCTGCTTGGATGAGGTGATCCAAGTCACCCTCATATACTTTCTGCTCTGTAAAATAGCCTAATTAGTCTCCCCATATCCAGGCTTAACCTACCCTAATGTATTGATATTGCAGCACAGAAACATGTTTTCAAAACATACATGAGAAAATATTTTACACACCCCTATTTAAAATCCTACAATGTTTCTATTGCACTTATGAGAAGAATAGTATTTTAATCCAGTACAATTTCACTAGATAATTCAACTGGCCTAATCTCTGTTTCAACCACTCAGATCCTCTTTCAAGTTCATAAATGTATGATATTATCTTTTTGCCAAAAAGTCTTTGAATCCACAGTTTTACTTCTCCCTCAAATTCTTTTCTTCCAATTCCTCGTCAGTTAAATGTACTCTTTTAGCTAACAGTTAAAATTTCACTTTTACAGAGACACCTTCCATATAAATCCTCCCAATATAAATTAGCTGTTTCCTTATAGATTCTCATAGCACATGCCAGTCATAGCATTTTCATATTTATATTTATTTATGAAATATAAATTTTATGTTTTTGTTTAAGAATATTTGCTTGATAATTTGCTGTAAGAGACTTGTATGTAGCATAACAGCAGGCTTAATGTTCTTAGTCCCCTTTATATTCTTATGCCTGTCATACTGGTTTGAACATAGTAAGGACACACTCTGGATTGAGGAATAAATGAATTATAAAAGTAAATAAATGAATGAAAAGGCAATGAAATACCACTTTTATGTTTTAAAAATGATAGAGATTGGCAAGAATGCAATGAAAAGCAAATTTTTTACACATATATTTATGAAATTACAATTTTTATAGTTTAAAATTGTCAATTACTATTGTATACAGCTTCTCTTAACATTTGGGTATAAATTGTTAAAAATCTCTTAGGTGGGCAATTGTCAATGTATACATCCTTCAAGTCATTTATTCTATTCAAGTAGAATTAAATTTTTAAGAAATAATAATAGATTTTAATAAAAACTCATATTTAAAGATATTTTTCAAACCAAAATGCAGAAATTTAAAAACAACTAAAATTCCCAAAAAAACAATCTAACACATTGTAGAACATCCAAAAAATGAAATTTTATGTAGAAATAAAAAATTATATGTTTGAATAGAACCTCAATTCACCCAAGTCTCTGGGCCCTTGTGTATAAATATGGTAACATTAACATGAATATTTTAATTTTGTTCATTCATAATTTTTACTTATAAACCATTTCTTGCTATAGTGTCCAAATTGTTTCGGAGTCCCTACTGAGGATAGTCAGGGAAAGAATAGTGGTAAGCGTTTATTAGTAATATTCTTTAGCACTTTATATGGTTTGATTCTGTTTCCCCACCCAAATCTCATTTTGAATTGTAATCCCTATAATCCCCATGTGTCAAGGGAGGAACCAGGTATGAAGTGATTGGATTATGGGGC